AACAAAAAAAAAAAAAAAAAAAAGATTATTTCTATTTCATATCTTAATCATTTTTTGAGTATTTTTTCAGAATTAGTGATCTTTACATGAGAAACTTTCAGTCTATTGATAAAAATCTCTTGCTTTTAAGGTTTCTTAATTCTGGTTGTTATATTTTCTGAATGCTCTTTGTATTTTGATATGTAATTTCCCTGATAACTGTAGTTCACCCATATGTATTTTTTGCATTCTTACATATTTTATAGGAAGGTTACCATATCCAATTTTTGACTCATGTTTCTTAACTCTTTAATCAACCAGAAACTCATATAGCAGCTAAATCACTTTCACAAGGGAAAGCTTTTCTCTTTTCTTCTTTAGCTACTTTACTTTTACAGTAAAAAAAAAAAAAAAATGAATGTAACAGTTTTTTTACAACAATGGTTTGGTAGGATTTTATGGACTAGCATTATCGTTTTAAATGAATTTTTCAGCTAAAATTCAAGAAATATTTAAAAAGTACTTTGGAGTTGATGAAGTTTTTGTCAGAGGAGACTTACCTTGTTTTATGATGTAGCCAGGTCTAGCATTTTTAATGTCATTGGTTTAAAAATGAGAATTAAATGTATGTTTTTATATTGATAATTGAGTTTCTTATTCACATGAGCAGTGTAGTAACTTCTTGGTTAATGGTATGTTTAATCTGAAAAAAATCAAGTAATGAATATTCAGTCTTACTACCTTCAGTTTTGTAGTGAGAACATTAAAGTGTGACTTTCTTTTCTTTTCTTTCCTTCCTTCCTTTCCCTCCCTCCCTCTCTCCCTTCTCCCTCCCTCCCTCTCTCTCCCTCTCTCTCCCTCTCTTTCCCTCTCTCTTTCTCTTTTTTTCTTTGTCTGTCTGTCTGTCTGTCTGTCTGTCTGTCTTTCTGTCTTTCTTTCTTGTACCAGGGATTGAACTAAGGACCATGTGCTTCCTGGGCAGGAGCTGGGCTATATCCCTGGCCTTAAAGTGTAACTTTAATTTAAAATGCTTTTGATATCACCTGTAAGAATGAAGATATTAGCCTAAAATTGATTATCAGTTTCATTCTTTACATAGTCATTAATTCATAGAAAGGTTTTAAACATACACCATTTTCCAAATCTTGAAATCTGAGACATTTAAATATACAAAGATGATTAAGACACAGTGCCTTCCTTCAGATAGTCACCAGGCTCATGGGGAAAAAAAATAAATAACTGTTTAGATTTTTGTAATTTATTATGGTAAATGTGTTCTGTGCACCCATATATTAGAAACTAAAAATCCATCTTAGTAGAGGGATAGGTGTGTGAGGAATGTTTGTGAGCTGAGTCTTACAGTTTAAGATTAAGGTCAGTTTCTCTATGGCGCTAGAATGAAAGGACAAGGAGTGATGTTTACACAGGGCTACAAAACAGCATGGCTTATATGAGAACGCCCAGAAGTAGGAAAGACATGCTGGGGCTGGTTCTCTACTCTTTGTAGAAATCCTTTGTGATGTCTGCACTTACCCAAGGAATTTAATACTCATTACACTAGTTGAATGTTTAAAAAAGTTAACAAGAGATTGTAAAAGCAATTCTGTTATTGAGTTAATATATCCTGTTTACTGTGGGCTGGACATCTTACCAGATATTTTTCTTTAAAACTTCAACTATTGTGCTAAAAATTTCTGTTCAAATTCATATATAAAAATAAAAGAATAGAATCTTGCTGTGATGCTCTGAAGTGGTAGAGAAATCATAATAGTGTGTCTGTAATTGTGGGATACCAGTATGAGGAACAAATTCAGTGTGTTTTTTTTTTATTCAAATATTTTGAAATCAAGACTAGAATTCAAGCATTGAAATTGTCATTCCCATGTTCTGTCTGTTATCCACACAGCTACAGAGATATGTAAGCAGGTTAAGAAGGAATAGTTCTAAGGAACACAATCATTCATGCTGCCTTGACATTCACATGCTGATAGTCAAATCTAGATAATTTTAAAACATTCTAGAATTTCTTCCTCAAATGAGCATGTGAAGGAGAGTGGTATATGAAAGATATACTTTACTATAATTGCTGGAATTAATAGTGGCTTACTATATTTCTTGTTACTCTCATGCTGTTTCTTTTTGCAGGCAAATTGATGATAAACCAGAGAAGCCTTCAGTAACGTATGCAACATATCAAGGGCCCAGACAAATTAGGAAATATTTAAAGCAGCAACTCATATCGGAAACTATGAATTCCTTACACAGAGAAAATGAAAGTTCTGACTCTAGTACAAACACATGCATTGGCCCTGGAAGTGAAGCAGAGGCTGGGTTAGCACCATTGTCATTAGCTAGCACAGACATATCCATGAAAGCCTGTTTGCTTGGAGATCCATTAGAAGACTGTAGTTATAGCAAAATAAATCTCAACACAGAAAGCTGTCTGTCATACAACCCAGAACTGAAGAATTTTGCCTCTTTTAAGGATGTTTTAAATAAAAATGATCCCAAAGCACCTGAAAGAAGTCAGTCATCTTCTTCTGTGACTAACTCTAGTGATGCTGTTGGAGAATCTGCCTCACAGCACCATTCAAGTTGCATATCAGTTTCTCAGACTGGCAGAAATTTGGTGTATTCATCGATGTTTACTGGAAGTAAGAGTAGCAAAGTTCATTGTAGTCCAGAATTTCAAAGGAAAACTACAACAGAATATATGGTGAGAGAAAACTTCTCTGTGATGAATGATAGGACATTGGTGCAAAGGAAAGAGCACACTGAGCTTCAGAGACCTGGTGTTTTTGATTTCTCTTGCAGTAAACTTGGTGAGAATGCTACCACCAAACTGGAAACTACAAATTTGTCAAGTCTGAATAAATCAGTTACACATGAAGATCTGCAGTTACCAGAGAATGAGTGTTCTGACAAGCAAACCATAGATAACTCATCAACTCAGGCTGCCAGTGATATCAGCACTATTGCTCTCCAGGGGCATGCTATGACAGACACAGAACTTGTAAATGAAGAACTTGAAAACTCACAGAAAAATCTGGCCATTACAGAAAATAAGCAAGCAACAGAAAGTGCCTCCGCTGATGAATCCAGAATTCCAAGCCATATAATAACTCCAGAAGACAGAATTGAATCATTATTCAAAGATAGTGATGAATCGTTTGAAACAGAAGCTAAAAAACTTGATTTTGGGCCACATGACAAATCTCTTTGTATTACAAGAACAAATCAAAATGACACCACCTCTGTAAAGTTCAAGAGTGAATCATCAATTGTAGCATGCTTAGAAAATAAAATAGCACCTGACCTGAATCTTGAATTTAATAGAAATCACAGTTCAGAATCTCCTCTTCACTCTGAGAATTTTCAGCAAGCCAGAATATCACCTGATGATAAAACACCTTCTGGTCTTGACTGCAAAAAGTCAAATTTTCATACTTTAACTTCTGCCTTTGTTTTTGGTATTAACATGCTGAATAAGTGGAACCAACCAGTTTTAAAGAATGAAGAATCTTCTATGCCTATTGAAACTGAAGATGCCAGCATTGTTGATATTTCCCATTGGCTAGGTAAGTGTCCAGAAGAAAATGTGGCAAATAATATTGAAGCTTCAGACAGGAAGAGTTCTCCTTCTCCCTTTCACCTTGAACATGCACCTACAATTCTTGAATCCAAGGAAGTTCTTCCTGATAGTGAAAAATGCCAGTTTCCTCTAGGTCCTGAAACCTGTGGCATTCACTTAACTGGGATGGACCTGTTGAACTTTGAGATTGGAAACCTCCCTAAGGATAATAGCTACATTTCATTCCAAGACTGTAACAATGCAGAGTCAGTGCCTTCAAACACTAAAGTGAATAACAAAATGATAGAGAAATCTGATTGTCTTTCTTTGGAAACAAAAACTGATAACATTGCTAAAATTTTATCAAACTCTGAAATTGTTGGTCAGAAAACAATTCCTCTTGTTTCACATTATGGAAGAGGAAAATCTGTATCCTTGTCAGGGATATCTATTTCACAAGTGGAGCCCAAAGACATTTCTCAGGGTAAAATTTCTTCTCTGTTAGAAATTACAGATGAACCAGCAAAACCTATTTTATCAGAATTAACTTCTTTAGAATTTAAACAGGACAAAAGTTCTCAATTAATGGAGCATAAGGAGAGACATTCAGATGCTGGTGTTGAAGAGAATTGTCAGGCTGAGGTGTCTTCTGCCTTTAAATATCAACATATACAAGAAACAGAAGCAGATGCCTTAGGTGATCCTCTTTCTCTTCTCAAAAATAATCTACCTGGGATTTTACTTCCTGGTCAAGAGGAGGAAGTTACTAGAAATATTGCACAAAATTGTGATGCCAACCCTTGTGTGATTAATCACTCTTTGGATATTTGTGGGTCTAAAAAGAGTTCTAATCTCTCAGAAGTCGCAGAGCTCAACTTAACTAAATTTTCTTCAAAGTTCCAAAACACATGGGTAAATTCACCTTTTCTGGGTTCCGATATCAATTTAAAAAGTAATATGTTTACATTTGAGGATTCTGACTTGCATAATGTGTCTTCTGAATTGAGAGCACAAAGGAAAGCCTCATCTAACAGGGAGAGAGATAAAGCTCATTTTCTTAGTGGTGGGACTGATAGTATATCTTCTCCCTTTCATCACCCTGAGGAAGTTAGCATGATTATAAATTCTTATACTTCAAAAAATTTCGATTCTGTGGAAGTTTCTATAGATCCCATATTTGAAGGTGCCTTTATAACTCACTCACTGGACCCTAACAGCTCTTATTTGGATCTGCAGACACCTATCCCAACAGGGACAGAAATTACTCCATTTCAGGAAAATGCTAGGGTTCATACTGGAAGATTACTTCCTGATTGCTCAAACACTGCTCAGTTTGACAGACCCATGGAAGCAGAGATGGAAGCAGTTGCTGGAGCCTCAGTGTCAGTTAACAGCTCAAATCAACAGTGTTCTGAAGCATCTGCTAAGCACACAGAAGCAAGGAGAAGAGCACATGACCAGGTTTTGGACCCCAAAAGTGATTTACTCAAGAAGGCTGATACATTTATTGAGGAGGTTTTTAATTCTGTCAGGGAAGAACTCAAATCCAAACAAACCGCTGGTACCTTCCCGAAGCATACAGCCATAGATGGTGTTATGAATCCAAGTAGCCGAAAAAAAGACATCCCTGAGAAAAACCCATCAGAAGTGGCATTAACGAGAATCAAACAGAAAGACTGTTTGGAAGATCGGGGCATGGAAAAAATGTCAGAAGTTGAACAGGAGGACTGTATTTCACCTTCTGTTGGTGAGACAAGTCTGCTTTTTTATTCTGATAGAATGAATGTATCTTGTTTGTTAGAAGATCAAGCTAGAGAGGTAGTCAATAAGGTTATTTGTTCAGCCCAAGAAACTTTGAAATTTGATGCTTTTGAAGATACTGGTAATACCTCAGATTCTGAACCGCAGGCTAACACTTCAAAAATTCTGAAGAGTGATAGTGTACCACATGATAAAGTTCAGGAGTTCTTGGTATCAGAAAGGGCAGTAAATCAAAGCACATGTGAAATTAATGAAAATAAAATATTGAATAGATTCTTGTCCATAAGTAAAGACTTAGTTAATGACACAGAGTCAACTAAAGGAAGAGAAATTGTTCTGTACCAAAAATCCCCAATTTCTGGAAAAAGAGCTGGACAATCTGATACTCTCAATCTGCAGGAATCAGATGCTGTTTTGCTAGCTGAAGATATGTCCCATAAAAGGTTAGATGAAAGGGTAAAATTATTTGTCAGTAAGGACAGTAAAGAGATAACAGGAATAGAGGATGCGGATAATCACAAAACTGGGACAGATGATATACCAACTCTTCTGTTAAATTTCAAGTGGCCTTTGTTTGTGAATGATGACAGCCATGCACCTGGTACATCCAAAAGCAGTTTGTCTGATAGTCTTGTATGTATATCTGAAAAAAGCTTGTCAGGACATAGTAGAAACACACCCCTTCCACTGTCAGAAATAGGGAAGGTACACAAAAAGGACAATGAAGTGAATATAGGAAAAATTGATCTTATACCTTCCATGTTAGAAATGGGAAAAACAAATAAAAGGAATGCAGAATTGAACATTGTCAAATATGAGATAGTTCCTCCTATGTTAGATTCGGCAAAAGCATGTAAAAAGGAAGGTGAATTGAATATTACAAAAGTTGAGTCAGAAGCTCACATTTTTAAAATGGAAGAAGTATACCAAATGGAAGCTGAGCAATATATCGAAAAACTGGAGGGATTGCCTGTCACTTCAGGAATGGAAAAAGCTTACCAGATGAAGGATACTGAAGGGGATTTTGGGAAAACTGAAGTGATGCCTGTTATGTCAGAAATAAAGAATATCCACCAAAAAGATGCTGAAGGGGATATTGTAAAGAATGAAGTGACACCTGCTATAGTAGAACTGGAAAATAATTACCAAAAACATGCTGAAGGGGTTGTTGGCAACACTGCAGCAGCATCTGCTATGTCAGAAGTAGAAAATATCTACCAAAAAGATGTTGACGGAATTACTGAAAAGACTGAAGTGACAGCTGTTACATTAGAAATGGAAGACATTTACAAAAAGGATGATGAAGGGAGTGTTGCAAAGACCGAGGTGACACCAGTTGGATTAGAAATAGAAAATTACCCATCCAATTCTGAAAGAGATTTTGGAAAAACTGAGTTAGCACCTGTTACTTTAGATGTAATAGGTATTTACCAGAAAGATGCCAATGGGGTTACAGGAAAGATTGGGAGTCCAGTGTTGGAAATGGGAACTACTTCCCAAAAGGAATCTGAAGAGGTTGTTAGGAATACTGCTGTGGTACCTTTTGTATTAGACGTGAGAGAAACACACAAAAGAGCAGCACCTATCTCTTTAGAGATGGACAAAACTTGCAGGAGAGATGGCGAAGAGACTAATGGAACATTTGTGTCCATGCCTTGTAATATAGGAATGGAAATAACATCTGCAGAAGATTCTGAGGAAAATATTAGGAAACATGAAGTATTATCTACAGTGGTAGACTTTGAGAAAACACATGGAACAGAACTAGAATTGACCATTACACACGTGAAGGCAATGCCTCCTGTATTTGAAACTAAAAAAGTACCCCAAGAGTGTGCTGAAGGGAGTGTTGGAGTAATAGAGGAAGAGCTCACTGAAATAAAGGAAGGCATGATATTGCATGCAGACAGACTTGCGTCACACTTCAGGGGGTATGAATCACCTACATTAAGTAAAGATTTTGAGGGCTACCCTGCCTTAGCAATGCCAGATTTTCAGCCAAAAGATACAAAAGTAAGGCTCAACAAAATAATGTCTGTTTCTGCAGTGTATGACAAAAGGAGAGATCGAGATTATAGCGATGGAAAGGAAGAATCTAATTTAGCCTTTGTTTCTCAGGAAGAACAAGAAAATTCTTCTTTTACTATATTATATGAAGAGCCCCTTCAAGATGAGGAGAAGTATGCTGCTTCAGAAATAAGAGGGATACAGTCTGTCTTGTTTCCTGACATGTCTTCTGACAGTTTGCCTGTTCTGGCATGTGAAAGATCTGAGAGTAGAACTGACCTTGTCCATCATTTTGAAAAAGATCCTAAACTAAGTGAGACGTTTGATAGTGACAGTTCAGAAATGTTCTTATCAGTGGAGGCTAGAAGGTACAAAATTTATCCCATGGCTTTGAGTCCCATTTATGAGGATGACAGCTCACAGGAGGATATTCTATCCAGTGAGGTCTCACCTGGTCACCATGACTCCACAAAATCAAGAGAAAGTACAAACCAATCCTCTTCTGTCTTATCACTTCTCCAGTCAGTATCAGAGCGTTTAAAGATGAATTTTGATGACGATGATAGACAGGTGGCTGAAGAAGAGGAGGAAGAAGCATTACCTACATGTCTCAAAGTTCAAAGGAGAGAGCATGTTACCTTCCATATGCCGGATCCTTCCATCACATTTTACCCGGATGATGATGACCAGGATTGCAGTGAAATTTCTAAGAATTCATATGCAATGTCAAATGAACCTACTACCTCCAGTCTGCAAATTGGTCTGTGGCCAGAAAAGGCTTCATTGCTACAAAAATCTGACCTTACCTCTAAACTGCATTCTTCTTTAAAGAGTGTTTATCGTCAGTATTTGCAGACTTCTCAGACTTATTCCTCAGAAAAAGCCAAATTTGGTGGGATTTTTCAGGAACCAGTGTCTAAATATTTTCGTGTTCAAGACAATCCGGGTGGATTGAGCTCATATATAGAGGTAAGTTATTTTGATTATTAACTAGTGAAATACAGCTTTGGGTCATGAAATTATTTAAAAACTTACTCTAAACATTAGTGTTGTAGGGTTGTATAAAGTTTGTTTTAAAAAAATTCTTTGGTTGAAATATATCATAATCCTTTAACTTAATCATTACACCGAGAAAACAACATTGCTTAGTGAAATTTTCAAAGGCTTAGCAGAGAAACATGCTATTTCACAATCTTTAATATTTTTCAAACTAAATTAAGTGATATTATTCCAAATTTTTAAACATATTGTATGTGTAAGAGTTATCCCTTTCCATTTAGTTTATGTATCTCATGAGAATAATTTGCATATATTTGCTTGACCTCTTGTACAAAGCAAGGCAATAAACAGCCTAATTTGAAGCAGAGTTGAAAACAGTATGGGAAAATATTTTGAAATTCAGTTATATTTTTCTTTAGTTTAGAAATATGTAAATGTTTAATGTAGAATATTCGGTGAGCATGACACCTTCCTTTCTGGAATTTCCAAGATCATGAAATTTTCTTGAAGATTTCCAAAGCTTTTGTCTTGACCTTAAACATCCTTACTAGCGAATAATAGTAATACTTGAATACCCACTAGTAGTTCCTTGTGAGGTAAAATCAAATTAGAAGAAATGATCAGATTTAAAATAATGTTTCTTTCATGATATCTGTTGCCTGCCAAATCAAATGGAACCTCTTCACTGTGATTAAAAGGCCCTTGAGTTTTGTTGGTCCAATTTTGCCTCCTAATCTCTGGCCGTACACTCTGTATTTCCTACCACTGTACTTTTTCTCAAGATGATTCTCTTCCTGGACTATTTTGGCTGTAGTGTCCCCATTCTAATCTGCCACTTTTTAAAAAATCATTTAAGTACTATTTTATAAGATCCTCTCATTACTACTTCCTCCAAGAAGCCTTTTTTAAACCTCCCTGTTCTATCACTTCACCTCTATGCTAGTTCCATTTTTATAACCTGTCATTTTCTTTTTAACCTGTGCTTTTAACTTAGTCTTTCCTTTAGAAATTATTCAGGTGTGATCACCTATTTCCCCTGCATCCACACTTCTAGAGGGCAGCAATACCATATTACTTCCTGCATATTTGCCTTCTATCCTTTAGAGAAACATTTTGTTCATAATGGTCTACTCAGTAAACTGGATTTATGACTGATATGAATGTGAACTATATCTGTTTCCACTGATGTTTCTTAAAACTTATGTTTTCCACTTCTGTTATTTCAGAATATTGACAAATGCACGTTGAGGTGTAACCCACGACCTGGGAAGGTAAGCATAACTTTCTAAAGTAAGCTCAGATGAAAAGCAGAAATATAAGTTTACTTTTAAGTTTGGAGAATTTAAGATAAATACTTTCGTTTGACTTAGAAAATTATTTTAACTCAAAGATGTAACATTTGAACTAATATTTGCTTTTATACATTCTAGGACATTTTGGAATTTTAAATGCATTCTTAAAATTTTTGTGCCTACCTACTATATGTTGCAGATGGTTATCTATGATCTCCATAGAAGTAAATATAAACAAGAGATCTACCGTAATGTTCCTGATGCTACAGCATGGGCTTTTCCAAATGGAGTACTAATAAAAGTTGTAAGGGGCTGGTGAGATATATCTTATAATTTTATAGTTTATTTTCTAAAATAGTGTCTTCTTGCATTTATGCTTTTTATATTTTTATTAAAGTCTTATTTCCTTTTTTCTAGTTTTTTAAAAGAATATTTTGAATAATTATTAGTGTTTTTTTATAATTTATTCTTTTTATTTCCTATGGCAGAAAACAGACTGATTATTTTAGTACTTACAGCCAGCAATCACAAGACATAATGTATACAATCTGTATCATCCATGCCATTCTATAACTGCAGTGTTAGCAGGCTAACCTTGGCAAGTAGATTTAAATGCTTCAGTTGAATGAAGTATAACTTTGAAAATGAGTTCACAATTTGTGGGATGCTAAGGAATGTGAAGGCCAAACAGTCATTTGTATAGCCGACATGCTCAAGAAAAGAAGAATTCCTTGTGTCATCTAAAAATTAAGGAAGGGAAAATGTCACTTGTTATTATGCACCATGGATTGCTCAAATTAGAATTTCTTTGTACATTGTACAATGTTTAGTTTAGCCCCTGATCTGTATTCATATTGTAAGCAGTTTAATATAGTGTTGTCTTCACATGTATTAAACAAAATTAGGGTAGAAGTGTGGTTAGGAATTACTAAACTATTTTAATATAAATGTGTAGCTTTGGGTATATAACATGCATAAAGTTACAGGTATGATAAATATAGATATAGGCATAATATTGTATTATTTCCAAGTTGTATGCACTTTTATTCTTTTTTCACTTATACTATTTGTCTGTATTTAAGTTAGCCTATATCATTGTTTTAAAGATAGCATTATTGGCTAGTAGTGGAAGATAGCCCAGCTTACAAAATTTAAGTAGATAAAATGAACTGTGATGATCTAATTATTATTTTTCTTATGCTTCATTTCGTAGAAAATTAAAATAACTGATTATAGCCCTTATATTTGTTTAGTTGGATTTTATATGAGAAACCATATTTCCAAGGCCAGAAATGTGTGTTAGAAGAAGGAGAGAAGGTGTTAAATCGTGACTGGATTCTTTATAGCAGAAAGCACCCACAAAGTATCTTTGTATTGGGTTCTATCAAACGAGTCCTAAAGGTAAAAAAATTATTAATTTCTTTCCTCTTTTTTTTTCTTGGTTTTTGTTGTGGTAGTATGGATTGAATCCAGAGCTTTGTAGGCACTACCAATGAACTACTTTTTGTTTGCCTATTTTTTAAAAATTTTCTCATGTAGTAAAGCTGTAATGTGGCCTAGTAGTACTTAGAAATAGTTTCTAGTATTTGTACCAATTTCATTAATCTTTATTATCATATTGATGATTTTTAAAATTTATACATATAAAATATTGGAGTGAATAGTAATTTTAAATTTTTGAATTTATGTGACCCATAAAACGGCACATGATGTGCTATGTATACACTTTTGTGATATTAGTAGTATACTATCCGAAATCTTGATATAAAAAGCTAATATTTCCAAGTGTATCTTTTTTCTAGTTTTGATTACTACTATTTGGTATAGCTGTAAGTGTACATGTGTGTTTGTGTATATATTAGTGTATTAGGGTACATTAGAGAAGGAAGGATTAGGAGAGGATGCTAAGGTATTGCTTTTGTTATTTCCTATTTAACACCTGCTGTTGAAGATCTCCAATATAATAAAACATTTTGTGAAAGGTTCTATAGTGTTTTAGAGGAGGAGTAAATTATTGATAAGGGTAGATCTCAGATAAAGACAGAATATCCTCTCATGTTCTCATGTATTCTTAACATTTCCTTCAGCAGTAACATAATATATGATATGCTGTAGTCATTCATGTGACAGTCCTGCATACATACATTTTTCAAGATACCGTAATATATTTTAAAAAATATAAATGGAGGTGAACCCTATCATGATTTCATTGATGTTGTTTACTATTAGTAGTTATAGAAAAATCATGCAGAAAAATTAGAGGTACCACACAGAAAAACTCATGTTATCATAAAATCATACCTGCATACATGTATTTTATGAGTCAAAACTGTAAAGAAATGTATATCAAACAAATATTTGTGTCTGCCTTTGAACTTGATATGGCAATGTGCAGAGAGTAGCAATACAAGCGAGATAAGATCTCTTACTCCAAGTCTGGATAGAAACAGCTGAGTCACCTGACCATAGGACTAGGGTAGTGCTCCACATGGCCTTAAGGGCACACAGGGAAGAGGCACCTCACCTCTTAGAAAGTGGCACCTCACTTGGAGGAGGTGGCACCTGATCAGAATCTTGAAGAAATAAATGGGAGTTAGTGTGGGAAATGTGAGGGACTTCCTGCAGGTCCATCTTTGTCACATAAGGAGGACTTATCGATGGCTCTGGTACTGCAAGGAAATGAAAATAGCTAAAGCAGAGAGGGCAATATCTACTACTAAAAGATTTTCTGTGACTTCAGTTCTGTGAAGAGCATTTGAGTACTCACCTAATTGGCTGACTCACTAGAAATTCATTGAAATTAATAGTTTGTAGATGGGATCTTCTGGGATTTGTATAACTTGTGCTTTTGTTCATCTGTGAATATCAGGTACTATGATAAACAGTGGGAAAACAGTAATATTTGACAATTAGCCACTCTCCCAGCCCCTCTAAAATCATATAAGAATCAAATAAAAAAAAAGAATCAAATCAAATTTAATCTGGTGATGGTAGAAAAGGGAAGATTTGTACAGCCACTGTCTGCTTAGAATATATTATAAGAAAAAAATCACACTTGGATTTTTTTTCTTTCTGCCGTTATTTGTTCTTAGTCATTTTGTTTTTCAGTCACAGTGTTAGTGCTCATATGTCTTGAGCAGGCTAACAACTTTTAGTGAGGAAGGAAAATAAAACTATTAAGCATTAAACAGAAAAGATATTAGCATTGTTTTCAGTATTCCATAAAGAAAGTATCTGGCATCACACTGTTTCCCTTTCTCCAACCATGTCAAAATTCTATCTTCAGTAGCTTCATTTTCATTTTGCTGTTGCCATTCCCACGCCTACCTAAGCTGAGCCAACTTTGTGTTACGTCTGAGTTTTAGTTGCTGTCATATGAGTAGTTAAAACTCTAACATCCTTTAAATATGATATCATCATGATGTTGTAACTTGGCTATGAACAGCTGTAGAAAATACCCTCAGTTTTTAGAAATTTTAGATTCCACTCAAGGTTCATCTTTGCCCCCTAAACTCCTAGTGAAAGTAACTGGAAATGGGGTTGACAATGCGGCAACTCTTGACTCAAGTGCTTTCTTTTCTCATGTTAGAGTAATTGAGAATTTTAAATCACTGTTTTACTGTGTATTTAATGATACTTTTCTTATGAAAAGAAATTACTCAGGTTGTACCCACACTACTGAGCCAAGAAGACAGATGTGTACTGTTAGATCAAAGACTTAAGATGGAAATAAGTAGATTTTCCTACTGTTTGGTTACTCGAATTGTGTTCAACTCTGTTTCTCTTCTATGACTTTGTCTCCTTTTGTACTAAGTATTAGAATGGCCCAAGCTTATGAATTTCAGCAGTATACTGTATTTGGAAAGTATAGCATGACTAGAAGAGTCTGGGAGGAGGCCAGTAAACTGTTTATTGTTGCTAGGTTATTATAACATTCCCTCAGTTACTAGTGTTTGACTGTCTATTTCTGTGAGTAGCTACCATGAAGACAGAACTTAGTAAAATCTTTGTCAATCAGCTAGAGTAAAAATTAGGCTCCTGGTGAAGAGAGTTGACAACGTTTACCTTCTTATTTTTGTTTATATTCGTTCTTAAGCTGTCATTATGCTTTTACTGCCATGCTGTTTCCTTCTGTATTGTAGACATGAATGCCTCTTAGCTTTTTCCCTTTTAAAGTACACCACCCAAACATTGTTTGTATAATACAATACAGAGGAAATTTGTTTGTGTGAGACACTTAGTTATATATTCTGTTACTGTATCTCAGATCCCTGGGGGAACATTAATATGGCAGTATTTGACATAATGTTACTAGGACACTATTATTAATAGCATACAAAAGACCACTAAAAATTGACAGGTGACTGTTCTAGACATTTCTGGCTATTTTTGAAATGAAACCTCAAAAAAAAAAATACACTGATTTTTTGTTTGTTTGTTTGTTTGTTTTTTGGTACCAGGGATCAAACTTAGGTCCTTGTGCTTGCAAGGCAGGCAGCAGAACCCCCAGCCCTACTGCTATATTTTAAAGGAGATTTTAAGTTATCCTTTTTTAGTATATTTCATTTTATAACTAATATTCTGAAAATAAGACATATAGATTGACTTAATTTTATGTATTTTTAAAGAGAAGTAGGATAGTGTATAGAGCATAATAATATACAAGTGTGTGCTGCTATTATTTTAATGGTCTGTTTATATTTAGCATCAGTTTTTGGCTTAACCAACATCACTTTGCAAAGATAATTGTGACTTCATTTTCTAGTAAAATTTGAGTTTGAGGTTCTTCATGAATTCTATGTGAACAGTGAGGAGTGTGTTCATATTCTAATTAGCATCCTAAATAGCTTCACATATTTATGAGAGCGATAGACCTCACTTGGGGGAAAGATTAAAGAATTTTTTAAAATACAGTTTTAAAATTACAAAATTTATAATAATTAAATGTTCAATTTCTCATACAGCCTACCTCTGTTATTTCATTTAACTATTTCATTAAAGTGTGTTTATTTTAATTTCTAAATGTCAGGTGAGAATTATGGTACTGAAACTTGAGTAATATAATTAAACTCTCATGAGAACTGAGATAGTATATTTTCATAGAAGGATATCTAATTTCAGAGAAAGGGAAAATAATTGTAATGTTTAATTTCCTAAGGAAAAATAAGATTTATTTGGTTTTTGTTGTTGTTGTTTTAGTTAAAACTTCTTTAGATGAGGTGATAGAAACATGTGTAAGCTTACAGAGGCCAGGGTGGGAGTAGAGATAGCATGGTGGCCAGTTCAGACTGCAGAGGTGTGGGAAATGAGTGTGAAAGGAAACAGAAGTAAGTATTTGATGTGATCAGATCTTGAGCCAGGAAGTGTCACAAGGAAAGAGGTGTTCTAAGCTGTATAAAGAGTAGCTTGTGCTTGACTGGTAATTGTGAGTAAGACCCTTATTTAAGTTTGGTGATTCAAAAGTGAAATTGTAAAGGAAGATTTGACAGAACATGGTAACAGTGACTGCCTAATATTAAGACTGTGATAGAGTAGGGTCAAACTTCGTAATACCTTTCTTCATCAAACCAACTTACACTAAAGAAAGTTGAGTCCTACAAGTAGGAAAACAGATTTCCTTTATCCTCACCTCTAATTCCTACTTCTTTTGTCAGTGTAAATTAGGTAAACACACTGAAGGGTTAGTAACTCTATTATTTATTTTTATGGCCCCCATGAGATCAGCATTTATTTAACTCCCTTCCTCCCTTGTGGCTTTGTCGTGTGTCCAAAAAGGAAGGCTTACAGACCTTTGGCACTCAAATCCTTTGGTAACATGGAACATTGCTAATGGAATAAGTATTTAAAGAACAAAGCTGGAAAAAATGGGGACAATAAATTTTCCATCAATAATATGTATAATTTTCGTGTTAACATGACTTGTTAAAAAACCTGATTTTTAAACTGATTAAGGAGCAACAGTATATCCTTTATGTTGTTTTTGTGCAGAAATTTAGTTGAACAATGAGAGTAATTGTAACTGTATGTCCAGGATGCTGAGAATACTAGCCTCTGTGTCACTAGACGATTTCAAAGTCAGATTATTCTTTTTTTCAGAATTGCAGCATTCCAGAGATAGAGCTTCACCCACAGACTAACCCAGCATGTTGTCCTGTGTACATACAAAGAGCAGTTCCCAATTTGGAAGAACTGAACATCTCCAAATCTGTGTCCTTCACTGTGAAATCAGGAGTGTATGTATCAGTTTCTCTTTATTATAGTGATTGATGGCTATCTCCATTAACTGATGCTTTCATATTTCAGTAGGTAACATACATATTGCTGAAGTGTTAGTCAATTAATTTCATTGATGCTCGTGGTTATCCAAGAAAGACATGGTTTATAGATTCTTTCAGTGGATCCAATTAAGTCTTTGATATGTGACTCACAGGAACATGTATAGAATCCTAAGACATAGTTCTTGATAGATGAATTGACTGACTTTTCATCCCACACATTTTGGAATTGAGATATAAAAGCATGTTTCTGGCCTAAAATTCTGGAGCCTGAACTGTTTCAAGGGTGTCTTAAGTGCTAGTGCCTTCCCATTGTAAGTCACATATCCCTTTTTTGCTTATTAGTCCTCTTCTCTTGAAAGCATGCAGTGTTACTTCTTGCTATGGATGAGTGATTTGCCACAGGCTATTAGCTGGTCAGCACTGACTTGGTACTAAGTCTCTCTGATTCCCAATTTATCTGTAGGACTACAGCTCTGAGTTCATTCTTAGTTCACTTCCATATGGGCTTAAATTACAAAACTCACTGGATGCCTGGCTCAGTGGATCCTCTTCTTTCATAGCTTTTCTGCTCCAATAATGGTTGGTGTACAATTCTGGGGTCACTGTTGGACAAGTTTGTCTCCTCCAACCATTAATTAAACTCTTGAGCAGACTTCAAAATTGACACTATTCATGAGAAATGTATGTAATTATCACACTTAGCAGAGATGTATGGTTCTTTGGGGAATCTTATTTCCCATACTGTTCCTGAGGCAGCCAGTAGACGCAATAATGATTCTAAAAATGTAGGTCAAATAATAAAATGCCTATTCAAATCCCAACCTCTCACTGTCACAGTTTTTTAAAAATGGGACATGATAGAATGGTTTTGAATTTTCAGTTTTATTCTGCTTGAATTAAAAGTACTACTTGTTTTAGATGTTATAAAATTTAAGAAAAGTAATGCCCAGCATTTGATAGATAGATCCAATATCTTGGAAAACATTTTGTTAATTCTTGTTATATGCTGTTTGGCTAATCCTTTTGGATATGTTTTACTGGTATGATACAATGGAATTTTTATTTTTTCTTCTTGGTAGCCCTTTTTATTCTTATAGAATCAGACAAAACTATTAATACTTAACCAACATTTATTTCTTATTTAGTTGGCTTGCCTATCCAGATATTAATTTTAAAGGTCAAGCTACAGTTTTAGAGGAAGACCATGGACTCTTTGAGATTTCTGCAGCAGAAATAAAGTCATTACATCCACTTCAAATGGTGAGTAAGTTAAAAAAGAAGTGTGTGTTTTTCCTAGCATACATGAATCCTGAATTAAATAACTCTGATGATTGTTCATGTGTCTCAGGAAATGAATGTTTTCTTCTGAATTAACTATTTTTACATTGTTTTTATGTTTATATTGTAGAGACCATCTGAATTTTCTGTGTCTTGCCAAGTTTATCACAAAACACGGCAGTTTTCTTATAAATATTTTTCTTTGAAAATTCTAATAATTTAGTAAAGTTTTGAATGTGTTTTGTTGATGCTTATTAAAAAATTACTTGTAGTAATTCAGTAATGAATGATAAGCTCATCATTAATAATAAATAATAATAAATGGAGCATTCTGTCAATGTTTTCTTTCCTTAAAGATTTAAATAACTGCCTGAAGTATTTAATTCTTTTAATTGCAAATTTCTTCGGAGTAGCAAACTGTTCAACTAAACGTTGGCTGTGTAATAAAATATTTTGCCTCTTCTATGCCTTTTAAAACAATAGGAACCGGGACAGAAGAAATACCATAGTATGGAGTGGCATTTGATATAAGAACGTTACAGAACTAAGGATTTTGAGAGGAAGGGATTATGTTTTAAATTGTATAACTTCATGTTAAAAAGACATGATACATGATTTTTGAAAAGTGTTGATAGAACTTGGAAGAGGAAGTGTGGATAACTAAATGCTCTTTTTAACTTGAAACTTGCAAATAATTATAGAGGAGATGTTTGAAAAATCAGCTTAGAAATCTATTCTATAAAATATGATTTCTAAATCAGCTAAAAATTACACTCTTTTGTTTGAGGCATTATGCAGTAGGATCAAATCTTTAATTGGCCACATGTATTCAAGAGCTAAACCTGTTTTCTTCCTTGTAGTTTTAATCTGGAACCTTTTTAAACTGGCCACTCTACATTGATATAAACCCAGCTAAATGGTTTGACTACTGTAGTTCTGTACTTATCACAGAATTTAAATTTTAAATTATTTAAAATTTTAAAATTTAAAATTATTTTAAAATTTAAAATTTACTTGTAACTATCTGGGTATGTTGGTACACACCTATAATCCCAGCACTCTGGTGACTGTGGCAGAAGTATTGCCACAAGTTTGAGGCCAGCCTGAACTACATAGTGAGTTTAAGGACACCTGAACCTATATAGCAAGAGCCTTTCTAAAAAGAAAAATTTACTTGTAATTTAAGTTTGACTTATGTATGTAGTCAATTAGATATACTTAGTTAGATTTTACTTAATGTACATATGGCACTTAGTTACTATGAAGTACTTCAAATGTTTACACACTTAATATTAAAGTATCTTGTCATCATTAGGGTGGACTAAAAGTGGAAATGCCTATGAATTTAAAGGTAAGTCTTGAACCAACTTTTATAGTATGCTACAAAGAGTGAATACCAATTTTTAAGCATTTTGAACTATTATTATTATTTTAAGAGTATGAAAAATTTATTGAGGGAGAGAAAGCTTCTGTCTAAGAGAGACAGAAGGGTGACTGGAAACTGGATTGCCCACTCGCCCTAATTTTCAAAGATGTTTTATACAGCAAAGACATGTGGTGAGGCAGGTACAAAGTAAGACAAAACTGTAAGACATAATGGAAAATTACAAGGTGGGCATGAGGTGGGGCAAAACCATGACCAACCAATAAGATTACAAGTACAGTCACCCAGATAATATTGATTAAATGGGGGTCAAATTGGGGAGAAAGTCACATAGCAAGCATATAAGGATTTTCAGTAAGGGTGGGGATCAGGGATATTTCCTGGAAAGGCTGGATTAAGACCTTGGCCCCCCCACCCAGATGATTGAAAACTATTTAGAATATCAATTACTGCTATTATCCCCCCAGAGAAGCACAAAGATATAGTGGTTTCTCTTCTTTTACAATTCTGGCTTTCAATGAATGTGTCTTAATTGTCCTCCATGTTGGCTCCTTGAGGGTGGCCCCATCTAATTGACTACAAGATATCTAATTAACTTACCTATCTGCAATATTCCCCCCTCTGAAGAAGTACCCCTAACTGTTGTGAGGGGGCAAAGGGCAAAGACAGCTCTGGCTACTTCCAGCTGAAGAGGGTCATAGAGATCAGCAGTTAAGAGTTACTCTACAGAGGATCTCAAGGCCTTCTGTAGGCACCTGGCATTATCATCTTGGTAGCTGCATAGCTTTTAAGTCTGGAGGAAACAAAGCCAAAAAAACAGTTAAGAATGCATGGGCCAAATTATGAGGTCAGGATTGCTATGAATATAGCCAACAGGACAGGGAGAAGGTACAGGGGACTACAGGGGACTTCAGAATCTGACATAGAAGTCATTTTGTACAGTTTAGCAGTTATGAGCTGTTTACAAGGTCGATACAGTGGATCCCAGTAAAAGAAGTCTAGCACATTTGTCATTGGTTTCATTTGCATGACCACCCACTTGGAGTTCGGTAGCATCTAGGCAAGAATAAATAAAACTTGTAAGAAATTAGAGTATGCATAATCTAAGCAGGAGCACACTAGAATGAAAGGGCAGGTAGGGGAGAAAGCCACACTTAGAAATTGAAATAGTGATTGAACCTGCTGGTCTTAGATTCTTTCATTAATAGAGGTTATCTGTAAGTCTTGTACTTTGTCATAAGGCTCTGTAGTTTAAGCTTTAAGATAGACAATTTGAAGAATAAATTTTGTTAAGAAATATAAAACTCTAGCTGAGCTCTTACAGATTTTACCATAGTTTTTTCCTAATGATCCATATCCATAGTCACCTACTAGTAGAGTTGGAAACTCCCAGAAGGGGTCAGTGACTGGAGCCCCTTTTTATATCTAGCTTTATCACTATGGCATTATTTTATACCTCTTTTGGTTATTCTTTTCTATTGGGTGTTTAAGACCAAGTGAAAGTGAGACCTGTATCAATCAACATGAACCTCTTGCTATATATCAAGGTCAGTTAAGTCTCTTCAGGCATTATTTTGGAGCTATGCATAGAGCCTCTCAATTCCTCTCTCAGTGTCAGCCATCAGGATGGGTCACAGCCTTGCTTGTCCATGTTGCTTCCAATGAAAGCATGGGAGACTTTTCCCTCATGGTGATCCTCCTTTGGCACACAGAGTATTTGTCCTCTGGTGCCCAGCAATCTCCCTACTCACGAGATTTAGTGCCTTACCAAAGATGTAGGATCCTGTAGGAAAGGTTCCTTGTGTCCTACCTTTTGTAGACCTCGAGGGGCCAAAGCCAAAATATTGTCTGTCCTCATAACCCAATTACCTGTCTAGTTTTGGTCTCCAAACTTTAGTTGTTGAACACCCAGAAGAGAGGATCATTAGTAGTGCAGTAGGAGCGATGAGCTTAATTATAATTTTGTCTGAACATTAAGCACTTTGAAACATAAAACATAGTTAGGAGGCTGTTATTTCTTAGCAACCGTGGTTGTTCTAGTAGTTTAATCCCTGCAGAATGTTGACAACAGTTATATATTATAGAAACTTGAGATTAAGAGCCACACATAGTATTTTAGCATGACGGTCTTGATAACATTTTCTTTGTAACAATGTCCATCTTAGTATGGCATTTTGAATTATTAGAATAAAATAGTTACCTGGATGTATAATAATACTGAGCTACATGTTGGGAAGTAACTGAGATAATATTTCCTAAGGTCTATGAATGGCATTTGGGTCAGGATAAAAAGATGGAAACAATATACTGTCAACTCCCCCAGATCCAAGGGCCTCCCTGTGGCAAAGTGATAGATTTGATTTGGGGGAGGTGGTGTTTAATAGTAGCTTGATATTTGAATGGTGATACCTAGCCAGTAGTTAGGAATCATGCTCAGGAATTAGATCAAGGCCAATGAGGATTACATATTTCCTATCACGTTTATGTTAGTTTGTAAGTATAAATGCCTGGAGAGAAAAATAGAGGCAGGGAACTCAGGGTAACACTGGTGCAAGGACCAAGCACATTTGAGGAAAAGGAAGAAATACAATTATGGAATGTATGTAAAGAGAGACAGGAAGAAAATTGGTTCAGTGAGCCAAGATGTAGGTAGCCCTTTTCCTTATATTTAAGAATGGCACCTCTAGCCACACACAGGCAGGTATGGAAATAGGAATTCATTCATCCTCTTCTCCCAAACCAGACATAAGTCTCCAACCCTCTCATTTTTGGGTTGGTTTATAAGAATCAATTGCCATTTTATCAGTCACATAGGTGGAGTCTTTTTAAACTGTTTGAGTGTATCTATTATACTTTGTGTTTTGGAATCGTGTGTATTTTTTAAAATTGCTCAAGTGTGGCCTCCATTCTGTTTTGATCTAGGGTATGGACAAAAAGTTTTAAAACTTCCCAAGTAATTTGAAAATGTATCCAAAGGTGCAAACTTTTGCAGAATTAGCTGTAACAGTCCCTGAGTGCCTCCTATCTCAGTTTCCTAGTCTGGTCAGTCAGAACTTCAAGTGTGATAGGCTTGGTCTTCTTTGGGAATTTGTAGTATGATAGATTGTACATGTACATAAATTGATTGGTTATTACAAATAGTCACAATTTACAAATTGTTATGTATTAACAGTGATGACATAATGGCTTACATACTATTTTTTACTTAGTTTAAATGTTGTTGTCTCATGTAACATGTATTAAACACAAAATTTTAACACTTCACATATAGCCCTGTGAAAATAGTAAGATCGGTATTTAATATTTTTCAGTCTGTATAATGTTATTAGCTTTTAGAAATAAGAAAACAGTGTCTTTTTGCTTTAGTGTATTTAATCATGTAGTCTTATTCACCAAGATGTTGGGTTGTCAGTTGTGGGTAAATCATTCCATTAGCCATAAATAGGATTAAGTGATAAAGTATGGACAGATTAAAACTCTTATCAATGTTCTCACTGCCATATATTTGGGGCAGCTTCTTTTTTTTTTTTTTTTGGTACCGGGGATTGAACTTGGGTCCTTGTGCTTGCAAGGCAGGCCAGAGAACCACTGAGCTAAATCCCAGCCTTGGAGCAGCTTCTTGAGAAGAACTGCATAATAGTTTAAGAGAACTGTTGTACCAAGCCAAATTTGAAATAAGTGGAATACAGTAAATTTGTTTTGTGTTACACTCATTACATTGTAGTTTGAGTCAAATATCCAGTGAACAAAACTCATAATTTTTTCAGTCAGTTCTTATTTTTAGGAGGCTTTGTGTTTAAATTAAAAATATGTGTATCTATTTTTTTCTCAATGAAACATGACCGAAGAAGCAGTTAGTGTTGTATTATGATTTTAGAGCTCAATTGATGTTTGTTATGCTCAGCAGTCTTTAGAGAGTTTTTATTTTTTGTAAGGGAAATTTGATAGATCTGAGGTAGATTTATAGTAACTTCAGAACATAGGAGTAAATGTATAAAAAATAATGCAAAGATCAGTTATAAGAGACCATCCTAGGATTTAGGTGACCAAAACAATATAATCATACCCTGGTATATTAATAGGAGAAAGGCATGTTAAGATATTTTACCTTTATAATTATAAAGACCCCTTAATTCCTTGTGAATATCTGACAGTGTTATATTGTAAGAATATATTAATGAAAAAATAACAGTGTTCTCTATAATGTTGTAGCTTTAGTGTCAACTAAGTATATTGCTATGAATCTATTCTAAAATATAAGCATATTAAATTTTTTTCATATTTTTAGGTTATTATTTATGAAAAGCCTCACTTCCATGGTCAGGCCAAAGAGTTTAGTGAACATATAGATTCTGTACCAAATTTTTTAAAAAATAATGAGGACTTTCATGGAATTGGATCAATTCGTGTCATTGGTGGAGTGTGAGTATCTTACTTTCAATATTTGACTTCAGCAGTTAGACTTTTAAAGATTATCATAGATGAAGCCAGCCTTAATCTAAAATTTACATCCCTTTTGTAAGATTGGAAATAAAATATTACTAAGAGTTTCTATGAACTCTTGTTGGTACTAAAGATTTTGTGATAGTAACTATATTTTACCTTTAATCTAAAACACAGCATTATGTATAGTACAGAAAGTAAGAATTGTAAGATAAATTATTTTTTGCAAGTTATAAACATGAATAATAGCCTTGTTTGTATGTGCTGTGGCCTTAAGCAGTGAGCCCTCTCTCATCAAAGGAATAGTCTGGATGGTTCTGACACCGATATCCCTTCATTGTTCTTAAGAAAGCCCTTTAAGAACCCCTGGGTATAAAAGCAAGTGTAACCTCTATAATGACCATCTCAGTCTCAGTAAGCAGTTACTAGAGCAGAAATACTAGAATACTGAGATCAGACTAGGATGTGTTATGTTCATTTCCTGGCTGGCACATAAAACTATGCATACGACTGCAAAACTTACTTGATTTTGTCAGTCCAGTGCTGTTCAAAATTTAGTCTGATAAAACTAAGTCAGACTAGAGAGATTTCTGAGCTGTGTAGGTAATAGATTTACTAATACTAATTCATCCTTTAACCCTAGTCTTCTATACTTTTTAATTTTCTTCCCATTCTAATATAATTAAAAGCGTATTTTGAATAGCCATATTATAATAAAAGAAAACTTAGAATTTGGAAGTTTTCTGTGCAATTTATTTTTACATAATAGTTTAAGAATGTAGTCTCTTCATGTATTGCAGATGTATTAAGACATATAAATAGGCATATAGGTTTATTACAATACATGTGGACATCCCATCCTGTACCCTACCATAATATACTTATTACAAAGCAAGAAGAAATTAATGATGCTGATAGGGTAGTGTTACTTTGTGCTCCGTAAAAATAATTTTTTGGAATTTATTTTATTTTATTTTTTTTAATTTATTTGGGGGGTGGTACGGGGGATTGAACTTGGGTCCTTGCACTTGCAAGGCAGGCCACCGAACCACTGAGCTAAATCCCCGGCCCCTTTTTGGAATTTATCTTGATCTTCACAATTACAGTAGGAGTGGAGAAAAGAACAGTAGGTAGCCCTCATAGGCTTTGTTTTGTCAAGTCCCTGAATTAAGAAGTCCCTAACCCTAGAGTTTAGTGTAGTTGTCTTCCTACTGGTTTGGTGGGTGGGGAGTTCCACCCTAATTGCACAGTCCAACTAAAGGCCTGTTTAAGCAGGTCAACATGTTTTATGAACCATCTATGCCCATATGCTGTGGATACTGTAGATTACCCAATAAAATGTCAAGTTTCACAAAGGAGCTTAACAATTAAGATGTTTATAGGTATCCTTACTGATGCTTTTAGATTAGAGGTCAGGAAACTTGTGTCCCTGGAAAGTACTCTGTGATAGTGGATCCTATTCCCATGATCCCCACTGATAACATGGTGGGACCAACATTTTCCACCCATCAGCATTTACAGAAAAGGTCTTTGTATACATATAAGGGCACCAGGGATAGTGCTAGCTCAGTTACATTTTCTGATTCTTCTTTGGTAAACCCTCCTATATTGTGTTTTGTTTTTTTGGGTTCTTTTGAGCTTCAGCCTGGTAAGAGGTTCCTTTGACTTAAATCCTTAGTGAATGTTTAAGGTAGTAATCATTCTACAGTTCCAGAAGGGCTTAATCAGAAAATAAGAGTGATTATCTTTGGATCTCTGTGAGTTTGTTAAGTTTTCTCATTGGCTCTGTGTGTTTTTATTACATTTACTTTGCAAAATCTTCTGTGATCATCTTGATGTGGGAAGGAGTCATGCCATAAATATTTAATGAGCTTGCTCTTTTGTAATTCTACAATTAACCTTTTGTTGGGAAAGCCTCCAAACTGTAAAAATTATTGGTCTGTGAACCATATACTGTTTGTTTTTGTAGATGGAAATAAAGTAGGTGTGTTGCTTTTTACAATATTGAGATAATTGTGCTTTATAATAATTTTTCTCTCATTTGCTTTCTTGACTAGTTTTATTATTGGCTCAATGAAATGTCTTCTGTAATTCTAGGTGGGTTGCCTATGAAAAAGAGCATTTTAAAGGACAGCAGTTCCTGCTTGAAGAAGGAGACTTTGAAGACAGTAATGATTGTGGGGCATTAAATGGCCCCATATTGTCTTTCCGATACTTACAAGCTGTGAGTTATCTTCCTTAACCATAATTTTCTACCCCTATTTTATCTTTTCATGAAAATTGGACATGATCTCAGCATACTGAGAACACTGAACTGACCTGAACATGAATTACCTGGTTTTCTTAACTGCATGATTATTATAGAATATTAATTTTTTATTTTTTATCCTTCAATTCTATAATCAGTTTTTGAGTACCTGCTTTCTTAGAACTATTGTGCTAGGTATTAAATATGTAGTAGCCAAATACTGAGTCCCAACATCCCAAAACAGACAATCCTACTAAGGAAAATAATAAATAAATGTTAAATAAATGTTTGATATTGTTTATGACTGGATTAAGTACACAGGGTACCCAGAAAAAAGCCAGTTGATCAGTCACCCTAGTGGATTAGTGAGGATGTATGGGTGATAGCCAAGCAGAAGTTTTATGTTCAAAAGAGAATTTCTAGTAGAGAATTTCCAGGATAGGGTGAAAGGCAATAGTAGCAAGAGATTAACTCATGTGACTGTGTAACACCTAGCTTGTAAGTCATTGGTTTAACTGGGGGTGAATTTACTCCTTAAAGGAAATTTGACAAGTGTCTAGAGACATTTGGATGGTCATGGGGAGGAGGAGTGCTAGTGTCTAGTGGGTAGAGACTAATGAATGACCTTATAATGTAAAGGCAGCCTCCAACTATGAAGAATTATAGGACTCAAAATTCTTACAGTGTTGAGCTTGAGAAACCCTCATGGAAGTAAAACTGTGATGTGCCTGAAAAAATGCAGTTTGGTTATGATGTTAGAACTTTGAGGAGATGAGTCCTAGAGCCATTTAACAAAGGGCCTAGTACCATGTTAAGAAATTCAAATTATTTTTCTTGAGTTGACCAAAAGCGCTTGGTTTCCACCCTTTAGGTGTAGTGTGCATGATCACTCTAAAGATTTAGAAAGGTCTTTTTGATGACAGTATTGAGAAATGGGTTGAGATAAGTGAAGTGAGGCTGGAGGAGACAATTCCAGAAATTTATAGGACTCCAACAGAAGCAGATGAAAGCACAGAGATCTAGAGGCTTATAGTTTTAGGGCTTATCAAATGTTGCTGATTTTTCTGACCAGCACTGTGGACTTTTTAACAAATTAAGAGGGACATGTGTCATTATTCAAGAGTTACCACTGCAATCTCTTCCCCAATCTTTACCCTATAAACTCTAAACCAGTGATGCTGAACCTATGACACACGTGTTACTTGCTTTTCTTTTAAGATAAAGATGTTAATGTGTTAGTTTTTTCCTAAACTAAAACCTCAGTGCTCAGATCTAAGTATAGTGTTGGCACTTTACAATAAATAAGTAGATTTGGGGATGCAGTTTGGGAACTCATCTCTAAAAGGTTTGCCTAAACTATCTGTAATGGTCTTTGACACACACTGTAAGGGAATCAGTGCAGTAAGTGATTGTGAGGTCCACATAAACTATAGGTAAGCACAGTGATTGTCTTTTTGGTCTTTTAGGTTCCTCTTTTCTGCAACTAGCAACAGCCTGTTTAGAATCCCCCACATTGTTAAGCAGGAAAAACAGAAAGGAGAGCAGATGCACTGGGAACAAGGGAGTATTTTATTTCTTCATAAGTTATCCTCAGTTAGAAAGTGAGTCAGAAACAGGTTCTGAGAGAAACACAAGACAATTCACTGAAGATTCAGTACTGGGAGTGCTTGAGTAATAACAGATGGGTAACTTCCAAAGTATTTAGTAGACAGTTATGATACATAAAGGTCGCAGGTTTTCTCTGCTGAGCCGTGCCTTATTTGGCTGCTAAAAGGCAAGTCCTACAAAATAGGTAGTGGCCTTTTAAAATCATTTGGACCATATACTTTGAGAAGATTTTGGCCTGTGATTCAAAGCATTTTCCACTCGTTAAATAATTTAAAAATTTCCCTCTTATTTTAGAAAGATATTGGGGAAGGAGTCATTATAGATGCTATAAATGTTAACAATGAATGTGGTGATATTTTCCAAATATAACCATGACTAAAACACCAAAATGAAAAGCCTAAGTTGGTTAAAACCTGTCAGTGGTAGAAAATGTGAAAATAAATAAATAACATAGCTACCATATATTGCTAAATATTACAAGATATTTTATGTAAACAAAGTCTTTAATAGTATACATTAGAAAAATTGGTATATATATCATTGTTACTTTTGCTGTTTACAAAAATTGGAGATATGTACAAAATTGACACAGTTTTTATGGAAATAAGTAAAAATGTCTTTCAAAGGAAACTTTCTCTTCCATATAAATTGGGTTTAAAAAAATTAAGGTATTAGTTGTTAGTTTATAGTTAGAGATGATATCATAATCCTCATACTAATCCTAATATTTGTCAAGTACTTATTAATGGCTTACTTGTATATGTGCTCTAATAGTCTTTGCAAAAGACCAATGTGGAGATTATTACGATACATCTTACAGATATAGACACTGAATATCTTAGAGGTTAGATACCATGCCCCAGGTTGGAGGGCAAGTCTGTCTTGCTTTAAAGCCAAGTAGACTTAAAAAAGTATTTGACAAACTGAATTTCATTAAGTAAAAGGTTTATGACATTTCATTTATTACTTTTAATATTTTTATATATGTATATTGCAGACCTCTATACACACACACACACACACACACACATATAATTTTACATGGTTTCTAGACACTTGTTATAATAAAATTATATTCACTAAGGTATGTTCAGATGATACATACTAAACAAGCCTATCCATATTTAGACAATACAAAATTTGTATAGGTTGTGAAAATACTTTAAAAACTTGCTTATCAAGTTATATTTTGAAAAATTGTATATTCCTCAGACATAATATATATTTGGGAAGGCATTTTTTTCTGTTTGCATATGTAATGATTACATTCATTGTCGGTAGTTGGTATATATACATAACACATTTTAATTCTTTTTTTTTTTTTTTGAGACTGACCTTGGACTCGCTATGTAGTCCAGGCTGGTCTAAAATCACAGCAGTCCTCCTGCTTTAGCTCCCTGAGTGCTGAGATTACAGGCGTGTGCCGCCATGCCCAGCTTGGCCAACATTTGGTTTTTGTTTTTTGTTTTTGGTACTAGGGCTTGAACTTGGGACCTTGCACTTGCAAGGGAGGCAGCAGCACCACTGAGCTAAATCCCCAGCCCTTTGATTCTTTTTAAATCAATTTCTCTTCCCCTCCCCTTCTTTACCTCTTCTGCTATCTCTTGGTTCCCTTGCCTTTTATAAAAAGTTGTCTTGTTTCCTATTATCTATCTTTTATTTTGGTCTTCAATTTATTTATACTTTGGGTTTCTCATATGAGAGAAACTATGTAGTATTTAAACTTGTGTGTCTCAAGGAAAGCCCTTATGATTATGACAGGCCTAATGAGTTAATAGGAAGAGCTGATGTGAGACATCTTTTCTGCATACAAACCATGACATTTACGACTCTAATTGAAGTAATATAACAGAGACAAGAAGACAAAGAGAAAACCTGTTTTTAAATGTCCTGATTTAAGTACATGGAACACTCTGGATTTACTAAGGTCAAATACCGGACATGTTCCTTAGGGATAATGTGATCTGTGTCATGGAGAGCTTTGGAGAGGACAAGCAGAAATGTGTTCCCAATTCCAAATGAGTCATTTGAATACACTGACTTGGAGTTGATTACTTAGGAGAGGAAAGGGACTAAAAGAAATATAGCAAAATTTAGGCTTTGGGGGTTAAGGAATTTTTATTCCTTGGCTTCAGTAAAACTTTTTTGCTCTTCTTATTTTTCTATTTTATACTTACTTGCTTAACTTTAGATTTACTTTTGCTGTGATTTTCAGATTTTGGGCCACTTTCCAAATCAGATATGCAGCACAGACCTGTATTTTCCTTTGTTAATACATACAGCAGCTCTGTACTGTTGTCTTTATCATGTTGGCATGCAGGGTTATAGTGTGAGAGATTACAGACCAGATCAGCTGAGAGATTTTATGGAATTTAAAAGCAGACAAATTACTGATTCATATGACTCATCTTTATACCTAAAGCAGCTGCTCATTAGTTTTCTCTGATAGCAGGAAACACCATACCTGAGACTACACTAATCTATCCAATTAATTTAAGAATGTAAAATGGAATAGTACAGTTTTAATAATTGTTCCACCATTGTTTATTCTTCTTAAGCAAGAGAAATTTACCTAAATATAGAGCTTTCCAAAGTACTTAGAAAAGATAGGGATGGTAGTAGCCAAAATACCCTAGACATGACTGTGAGTATCTGTTGTGCCTACCTACTAGACAAGACAGAAGATTTTTGTTTTGTTGAATTTTTTGCATATTATACCATGCTTTGTAATTGTGCCCCCAGGTGATGGGGCCCAGAACTGACACATGACGCTGAGCATGAGTTGTCTCACAGTTAGAATTCTGCACAGCAGGGATGCCGTATTGATGACAGTGAATCAATTAGATTAGATATTGTGTACTTGGCATATTTGAGAGAAAATGCAGAGTGGGGCAAAACCTGGAGAGTTGCTCAGAAGGGGAGAAGTGCTTAGAAAGTGATAGAAGACAAAAACTAAAAGGCAAAAGTTACAAACAGGTAGAAGCTAGAAAGAGGGGAGTAATATCATCTAGGAGGCTCCTGTAGATCTTGTCAAGAGCACTAGGAATGGTAAACAGGTAAAGAAGTAAACTCAAGCTGGATGAGTGTATTGGTTTATATCCCTGTATGCTGCCAGCATTTGTTATTTGGCAGTTGATCCTGTACAGTGGGTTCCTCCTGCTCTGCTCAGTTTTAGGCTGCATCATTGTTGTATGTGGTCTGTGCTTCCAGCCCTTCTCCCAATTCACTTCTGTCTCATAGTTCTTGCATTTTAGGCACGATTGAAATTTTAGCTTCCTTTACAATTAAATTAATCAGATAGTTTGTAAGTCTCAACAGTTTAACAACTGGTTACTGTTTGTTTTGTTTTTATAAAGATTACATTTTCCTGATTGACGTAAATTCAGGTTTATCTTTTTTTTTTTTCAAATGATACAGCAGTAGTAACTATGAAATTATTTCCCATGAAGTTTAAAATTCTTCCTAGAGTTTTCTGTGTGATATATGAGTATATGAAAATGTGCTTGGCTACAGCAGTCTTTAAAACCAAAGTGCATGTTCTCCTAAACTTTCTTCTTCTTTTTAGAATTTTATAGAATCTTCTATCACATTGTTTGAATCTGATCTAGAAAGTGGAAAATTTATTGACATTTCAAATCAGGAAATTTCAGACTTAGAAGAAATTGGCTTTGGTAGTGAAACAAGATCCATTCATGTTAAAAGTGGCATGTAAGTTGTCCCCTACCCTAATGACCTTGAGATGTTCTTTGGTGTTTTAAATTATTGGTGGTAGGTTGTACATCACCTCTGTTCTTTTCTCTTTGTTCCCTACTAGATGGGTTGCTTACCAGCAGAAGTTCTTCTGCGGAGAACAATACATTTTAGAGAAAGGGAAATACAAATGCTTTTTAGACTGGGGAGGATCAAATAATGCAATTATGTCAATTCGACCTATTCAACTGGTGAGTGAAGTATGAAGATGACAATTGTCCGTAGCATGTTGATGGTATACAACTGATTATCTGAGACAAGATTTTTAAACATGGGATTGTTGAATTATTTTAGTGTATATATGGAAATTGAAAATATAGTTTGAGTTGTAAAGACTCTATGGAGAGCTAGGACAAATTAACCCATGAATGAGATGGCTCTGTAATTTTATCATTTTATTCATTCAGCAGCATTTATATAGTGCTTCTGAGGTGTCAATCATTACAGGCTTCACAGGAGATGATAGATGCTTAAAGTGCCCTGATGAGCTGGGTGTGGTGGCGCATGCCTGTAATCCCAGCACTCGGGAGGCTGAGGCAGGAGGATCACTGTGAGTTCGAGACCAGCCTGGGCTACATAGTGAGTTCCAGGTCAATTTCAACTATGTAGTGAGACCCTGTCTCAAAAAACAAAAAAAAACAAAAAATAATTAAAATTACAGGGTCTGTGTAAGATAGTGTTAAGAGAACTGAAGTACAAACTTCCGGCTGGGAGAAAGCATTCTCAATTCATTTATCTCATACAGGATTTCTATTCAAAACGTAAAAAAAAAAAAAAAAA